CCAAGTGTATTGCTTTCACATCATTGTAAAGTCAAAAAAAAAATCCTAAGTCAAACTGTCATAAGTTGGGGACTGTCTATACAGTGTATATTATTTATCTTAGGAACACTTAAAACATCATCCAGCTATTATCAAAAAATCAAAAGATAACAACTGTTGGTGAGGACGTGGAGAAAAAGGAACCCTTACGCATTGTTGGTGGGAATGTAAATTGGTGCGGCCACTGTGGAAAACAGTATGGAGGTTCCCCCCAAAAAATTAAAAACAAAATTACCCTATCATCCAGCAATTTCACTTCTGGGTATACATCCAAAGGAAATAAAATCATTATCTCAAAGAGGTATCTGCACTCCCAGGTTCACTGCAGCATCATTCCCAATAGCCAGATATGGACATAACCTAAATGTCCACCAATGAATGAATGGCAAATGTGATATAAATAAACACACACACACACACATACATTCCAGAGGAATATTATTCAGCCTTTAAAAAAAAGGCTGCCATTCACAACAACATGGATAGATCTGAAGGACATTAGGCAAAGTGAAACAGAGAAAGACATATTGCCTGGTCTCACTTACATGGGAAGTCTAAAGAAAAAGGGAAGCTCATAGTAACAGAGGAAGGAATGATGGTTACCATGGGCTAGGGGTGGGGAAAACGGAGAACACTGACCAAAGGGTGCAAACTTTCAGCTACAGATGAATAAATTCTGGAGAGCTAGTATTCAGCACAATGACCACAGTAAATAATAATGTATTACATATTTGAAATTTGCAGAAATTGTAGATCTCAAGTGTCCTCACCACTGGAAAAAAACAGTAACTGTGAGGTGATGGATGTTAATTAGCTTGACTGCAGTAATCAATCCACAACGTATACATATAACAAAACATCACATTGTACACCTTAAACATATACAATTTTTATCTGTCAGTCACACTTTAATACAGCTGGAGAAAAAAGCACAAACCGTCACGCAGGCATCCTGTAGTCTAAGACCATCTACTTCTGAAACGCTGTGTATAAACCGTATCTTTCTACACTAAATCCCATTTTAAATGCAGTCATAGAATTTTCCTTTAGAAAAGTAACCATCAGAAAACCCTTCTGTAAAGGCAACAGATGCTTTTAAACACCAAGAGTCATCTCTATCTACTTATCCACTCCCTGTATTAAGGGGTTCGATGCTCGTGAGCTTCCATTTACACATTCTATTCCATCAGTCCTTCAACTTTCCCCCTTTTACTTAATCACAATTGATATGAAGGGTAAACATATGAGGATCAGGTCTAGGGCACAAGGTAATGCCTAAATGCAGACACTCCCAAGCTCTCACTCCTGCTGGGTTTCACCTATCCCCACCCCTCTGGCTGTTCCCTGGGAAAGGGGAGTCTCTTTGCTCCCCACTCCTCTTGGTCAATCATAATGGTAGCTCCCCTCCCCCTCCTCATTTTTCCACTCCACTCTCATCTTGTCCTCACAGGTTTGAACTACTGTCCAACAGGCAGCAGGGTAAGGGAATTTCCAGGCCACATCCCTTGCTGCCACACCCACACAGGACCGGGGGTGGGGGTGGGGTGCCTGGACCGCTCCTCTCCCCTGCAGGCACCCAGGGCAAAAAGACACACAAGAAGCCGCAGAAGCCCTCTGGGTCAAACCCATCGTCACCGGTCCCAAGGCCCATCACATACGCTGCCAGCCGTGCTGGGTCAGCCCCAGTGTAGGCATACCATGTTCATTTCCAAAAGAAAGTATTTAAATAAACGCACGGCCATCACACACACTGCCTATGACGCTGGATCAGCCACAACGCAGTGTCACTACGCTAATTTCCAAAGGGATGCATTATCAGACGTTTTCACGTGATTCAGTTTCACGCCACCTAGTATTATCGATGTGCATCAATCCGTAAATAAATAAACCTGTAAATTCGGAAAACTTCTGCTGGCAGAACCCGAGTCTCAATGATCAGTTCAGAAACTATGCTTGAGGTCTTCTCCAGCCTCCAAAAGAAAATGCACCTGCTGGCAACTTCTGGCCCATTTGGGGAGTGCCCTTCAGGCTAGGGCAAGCTGCCTGCTACAGTGAAAGATTCACTGGGACACGTGTGCTCAGCACTAGCCAACCACAGAACGGAAACCAGAAGCAGCAGCAGCCGGACCCCGGTTCCACCGCCTCTGCGAACGCCGCGTGGATCTCCAGAGTACCTGCCCTCCCCGGCAGGTGGCGCACCTATGGTTAAGCCTGTGGGAATCTTATCTTTGAACTTTCTTCTCCGCCACATCCTCAGAATTCTATCTTCCCACCCCAGGTTCCTTGCACCAGCTGCATCACGACCCCACAGACCCCTCCATGCATAAAGAGACAGAAAGAGGACTCACCCACTGAGGACCACGATGAAGTCCATGACATTCCAGCCATTGCGGAGGTACGAGCCCTTATGGAAGATGAACCCCAGGGCCACGATTTTGATCCCGGCTTCAAAGCAAAAGATCCCAATGAAATACGGTTCTGTCTTCTCCTGTGGGATGAGGAGGAGAGGTACTGGTGAGAAGGGGAACATGCTTCGTCAGACACAGGGCAAGGCACGCCCTGGCGAGCTACCTCTTCCACTCTGGCTTTTCCTTTCTCTTATAGGACACCTAGACACTTGTGCTGGGCTAGACCCATACACAGGTGGGAAGTGAGGGTGCTGCAGGACTCACAGGGTGCACAAGAGCAAGGGAATCCCGGGGAGCAAGCTGCAGAAACGGATGGATGTGGGGCTCACACCCTAGACCAGTCGTCTTCCCAGAAGATGACTGACGGTGCTGGCTCTGCCTCGAAGGTGTTGGCTTTCCCACTGCTGGCCTTCACTTCTGTTGGAAGCTTAAGAGTTCCTTCTCATCCACAGGTAATCAGGCTGGAGCCATTTACCAACCCATCTGGATGTTAAGCATTTTGTTTGCTCTCTTTAGTGGGGAATACTTTAGACAGGTGGATGATTTCTTTATAGAGAAGATGGACAAACATTTAGGAAGTTCAGAACCGTGAATGCACACAGGTTTTGAGCATCCTTCATCCTCTCTCCTTTACCCTCCCTTTTCCTCTCACTTCCAAAGTCCCTTAGGAGGAGGAGCAAAGTGAGTGGACCCCGTGCTTTCCCTTCCTTCTTCCCTGGCTGCCAGGCAGTGTATACACAGGTGTTTGCAGCGCCCTCAGAACTTTCTGGGAGCAGGCGTTTAAGAGGTCAGTCTTCTTCCCCTTATGAATCCTAATAGGGTCTGTCACCAACTTGTCCCGCAGCCAAGAACAAACTCACAGAACTGTAGGAAAGAAGGGGAGGGGACCAGGTGACAAAGCAAAGGAGAAGGAACCAGGGAAGAGGAAGAACAAGGGGAAAGAAAGATGAAAAAGAGGGAGGCACGTACCAGTCTGCGGGACATGGGGGTCTTGTCATCCTCAGGAAGGTGCTGCTCCAGGGCCAAGACGATGCAGTTGGCAATGATGGTGGCCAAGATCATGTACTCAAACGGCGTGGGAAAGGAGGAGTTAAGAAACAGATTCACCAAAGACAGAGGGACACAGCCTCCAAGCTGGCTGCGCACATCAGCACACAAACTTTATCAACCCACATGGTGTCTGTGCAGTCTGCCTGATTTATCTGAGCAAACAGGCAAGCAGGACAGTGGATGGTTCTTAGCACGTGGACCTATAACCGTTTCCAATTAGGCTCTGAACACAAAGCATCTTCTCCAAGGAAAGGAAGCATGTAGCCAGTAAATAACATATAAGACATATGGTAGACACTCTGGATACTTGGTGAGTTCAGTGACATATCTGGGAACTAACCAGGACTGAAAATGGGATGAAGGGAGGAAGAACACTGATGCTGCCATCGTAGACTCCCAGTTCTCAGTCTTCAAACCTCTGGACCACATTACAATGCTACAGCAAGGACCCAGCCGTGGCTGTTTGTGGCTGTCTCTGGGAACCACCCATGGGGTTCTCTCCTCTAGAACCTCTGCTCAACTGACCAGAAGAGCCCGTGGAAAAGGACCAATTTTCTCCACAAGCTCCCTTCTGTTTTAATATCCAATTCAGAAAAAGAAATTTTAACAGGGCCAGGAGAAGCTAGCTTTGTCTCACCTGATTTTTTCCTAAGTGTCTACATCTATAGGAAACAGAGAGACACATCAGGAGTCTATATCCAGGACAGCGAAGCCGAGGCCTCTAGGATTCACACTACAAATGAAGGGATAATGAGTTCAGGTTTGTTCTATTGTATTTTTCTGAAGACAGGTGAGGGGGCTCCCTGCACCCTTTTGAAAAACAGGACTATGATCCTAGTGCCAGCATCCGGAATCCCGCAGGACGGTTGTGCCGTGAGCCCAGGAGAAGGCGGGAGGGCATGGCTAGAAAAGAGAGCGAGGGGAGTCACCGGCTCCAGAGCCATTCCGCATGTGGGATTTCATTCTCTAACCATTGTTGTGACAAACAGAAGCGAGCTGTTGCTACTGGTCTTGCTGAGCAACCTATGATCTGGCAGCTTCCGGAATCCAGGCGGGAGAGATGAGTAGTAGATGTGGCAAAGCGGAGGGGAGAGAAGAGAAGGGGTCTCGTCTCCCCACACACTCAGGCTGGCTGTGTAGGATGCAGGGCTCAGAGCCCGCCCTAGGGAGCACACAAGCAGGGCACATCATAAACACGCCCCCAGTGCCTCCCGTCCCCCCTGGGATATGTGTGTCGTGAACATCTCCGGTTAAGGGGTATTCGTGGCATCTGAGAGGGGCAGGGCACAGCGTGTTACAGAAAGAGGTGGATGTGCAGGTGTGAGCCGCCCCACCTGCTCTGGTCCCGGGGATGGGATGGCGGCTGCAGGGGGATGAGAAGGCCAGCTGGCTCTGAGCCTCAAGAACTCTTCCTTCTCCTTACGCATCTCCTCCCCCTCCCCCACCCCCAGGCATCCCCAAGTCACAGTCCATCCTTCAGCAGTTGGTCATCTTCCCTTCCCACACACCCCGACCCACACAGGACCCAGCCCCTGGAGACAGCCCTGCTGGCCTCTGCTGACCTACAGGGCTCAGTCACCGGATCTGAAAAGTAGACGGGGCTCCCAGGACCTCATAGCCAGCCTCCTGCCTCTGCACTCCCCTGTGCTGGCTGGACCGCTCCCAGTCAGAGGGGAGCCTCACTGCACAGGGAGTCCCCCAGCAGATCTTACCATTCCTCCTTCTCTCTCTAGGCACCAAGCTAGACCCCTGAGAGCTAAGCATGCCGGCAAACACACACCAGAGACACCCGCCTCACTGACACGCCTACCTTCTTGGAACAAGTCCCCACACACAGCTCACCCAGGGCTACCAGCACCCCCCATCACAGGGGGACCTCCCCTCCCTCCCATCCTCCCATCTAGGGGAGCTCTGAACAAGTGCAGAATGACCAGGAACCACACCATGACCCGGGGTGCCATATACCTTCTGAATCAGCTAGCCTATCCCGGGCCTGATTCAGACACCTTGAATTCCCCAGACCCGAATGGTAAACTGAAGATGGGAACCTGCAGGGAAGGGTGCTCCTGACCTATGCCGCTTCCTGAGAACACCCCAGGGGACGAGTCCAGACAGGGAACTGAGGACGTGACAACAAGCCACTGACAAATGGCAACAGAAGTGGCCGGCATTTAGGGCGTGTTCCCGAGATGCAGGCCTCAGAATGCCAGTGCTCTGGGAACTTGCGATCAAAGGAATGAGGGAAAGCCTGCGCTGTGTCCAGCTGAGCAGGTTTCCTCCCAGCGAGGCCTCTTGGAGCCTTTAATACTATTGTATACAGAGTGCACCCCCTCCCAAAGGGGGCTGGGAACAGCACACAGCACCCCAACCTGCTTCACCACATAACCCTCCTGTCAGAGCATCTCTCTTGGGGCTGGTGCTCAGAGGAGTGCACCTGGGGAGCCCTGATGTACAGGGCGGATTGCACTGCCAGTCCCCAAGGTGGAGGGAACGAGGGTGGTGGCCCTGACAGGAGCGAAACCAACACCTCTTTCGCCTCACTCACTGCCCTTGTTTCTCACAAAAACTTTCACAAAGTGTTGGGCTCAGCCGGCCTTTCTTCGCAGCTGGAAGGCCCCACATAAACTCAGAAGGCTGCTTGGCAGGTCCAAGGAGCCCAGCACGCGACCTGGGAAGCAGGACCGGGGACAGGACATGCCTGTTCTCACTCCAGCTGCAGGTGCCTCGAGCTCTCATCGGTAGTTGTGGGTCGATGATTGCTCGGGGAGTTCGGGCTGCTTCTCCTGAACACCTTAGAGTGATAACCACAGACTTCAAAGTAAAGGAGCTCTTAGCTGCCGACCTACAGGCCTGACCGCTTCTGGTGGCCGTGCACCTCCCAGGCTCTCCACCCAGCAACGCCTGCTTGGACCGCTGCAGCCCCTCTGCTCCCCACTCCTCCCTCCCACACTCACACCTGCATTCTCCTGTCCAGACCATCTAAGCATCCAGCTCCATGCTAGGAGCCAGACTTCCTGTGACCAACCAGGTGTCTGGATGGCTAAGGATTCATGAGGGCTCAACAAATGGTACTACCTAAGGCCCATGAGGCTAGAATCTAAAAGTGAGGGTTGGGAATTTACAGGTTCTGAGAAGGCCCTGTTCCCACATCCTCCCGACCCAAATCCTCTGCCTATGGTATGACAATCTAAGGACCCATTCAGAGCAGTGATCCTTTGGCTTAAAATTTTGAAAACTGTTCAAATGCACATACCCTTGAGAATGATGTCCCCTTAGGGATTAGAGAGCAACCCAACCTCAGGATGAATTCACGTCTAGAGCAATTAAGAATCGGAGATGAACTTCCGATGCAGAAGTAAAAGTAAAACTGGGAATTCTGTGTATCTCTGGACTGAGTGAAAGAGAGAATGGGGGCAAGGGAATTTTAGGAGAGGCGAGTAGGAGGAAACATCCGGTTCTGCCCAGGCCCAGCTGCTCCCTCTCCCCATTACAGCCCTTTCCTTTAACCTCTTGTCCACTTCTCTCCCTGAAGAAAGCACAAAGAATGGGCACTTACACCTTGATGCTTTTGCTTCCTCCTGCAATGGGCTTTCTCCTCCTTTCTGGTCATATATCAAGATCAAGCTGAAATATCACCTTGCCCGTAAAGGTTTCTCCCTGTGCCCCACAGCTCTTTGCATGGTGCAACTTTATCATTTCTCCTCATATTTATCTCCAAGAAACTACAGCTCGAAAGCTGGGGCGACATGCTGTTCATCTCTCCCCTCGCAGTGCTCAGCAGGGCTCCTGGTCCACAGCGGGAGCTCACTGGGTGTGAAGTGCAGGCGGGAACGAAAGGGAGGCATCCCTGTCCGTCCAGGAGCAGCAGCCCCATTGAGGAACCGTCACAAAGACCAGGCTGTGGTCACTCCCTCTTTCAGGAGCTGACTCAGGGGTGCCGCTCCCCTGTCTTCCTGCAGCACGACCTCAAGCCCCATCACAGGGCTCTCCTTCATCTCCAAGGAGAAGAGCCTGGACTGTAAGTAACAGCCCAGGGCAAGTGAATGCACCTCACAGGCCAGACAAAGATGTGACTGGAAAGGTCAAAGGAAGTTCCATGTTGTCAAGGTCTCAAAGAATAATGCCCTTCGTGAAACAGAATGGAAGTCTGTCCGCAACTCTGATGCCTTCTGCCCAGGAATTCAGGGACTCCCAGCACGTTCTGCACCTGACACGAAACATGTTTTGGAGAACATGTCTCTCCCTGGTGTCCAGACTCTTGGGGTTTGAGATGTCAATCAAACGGAGCTGATGGAGCAGTGAGGGAGCCCGAGGGCAGGGGCTTTCCTGACTGTACAGCATGCAGTGGGCACCCCATAATTGGCTTTTAATTCATTAATAAATTAATCAATGGGTAAGTGAATAGCCTAAGAAAACCAGAGCCAGAGCTATCCTCACGAAAGGCACCCATACTTCCTCTACATACCACACCCACTTGAACTTTCGGCGCTGTGTGCCTTGTACACACATTAGCTATTCAAAAAAAAAAAAACCCAGCAGGCCTAGAAGATCACTTTAATGTAAAAAAAAAAAAAAGAACAAAAATTTTTAAAGCAAAGGGAAAAACTCTGTCTTGCTAGAAGGCTAATGAGCTGTCCTGGGGTGGCAGAGTTATTTTCACATTCTTCTTTACTCCTTTATGCATTGTCTGAGTGTTAAAATGAGCATGTGTTTGTTTATACAACCAATTAAAGCTATATTTACTCTGAAAAGAAACCAAACCAAACACAAAACCCATCCCAAGCTGAGGGTCATGGAAATCAGCACAACCTTTCTGAGAGCATCCAACGCAGAACAAAGAGGCTGGACCGAATGAGGAAACGGCCACCGAAGTTCTATGAAAGCTGCAAAAATGCCTCCTCACTGAATTGATCTGTCTGCTCGCTAGGGGCCTCGTTTTATAAACTTTTTGGCAATCTCCCCAAACACCCCTCCACTCCGCTCTCCCTCTGAGCCCGCTAATGAGGACCTGTCTCACTCCAAGTC